TGTGGCTGTTTTGTGAAGGTCTAGCTCAGAAAAGTGAAGGCTCGGTGAGGTCAGAAGTGAAGATGACCCTGCCGGAAGAAAATAATGTGAAGAGAGTGGACGTGAGTAGAGCCTAGCCCGCTGAAATTTAGAATTAGGAAGTAGAGGTAGCTGTGCTGAGCAGAGGTGAAGAAGGATGTAGACAGACCGAGAACAAGAGTAAAGTGTCAAGTTGTCCACAGGAACAGAAGCGTAGGGATGAAGAAGTTGAGTTGTGTGAGATGACAAGAGTTGATGCATTTCACAGGCAGTGTGAAGAAGAGATAGTGAAGAAGAGTGATAGCCAAGAAGAGGAAGTGAGAAAAGACAGTATGTGTGGAGAGATGCTTACAAGCACTCTGGAAAAGGTAGAGCAACAAGTATGGTTGAGTGTTGTTAAGAATGCAGTACTTTAAAAACTTTTAGGGAACGAAGAATGCAGCATGTACAGTAGTGATGCAGCAGCAACATGTACATTATTGATGCAGCAGCAGCATGTACAGTAGTGATGCAGCAGCAACATGTACATTATTGATGCAGCAGCAGCATGTACAGTACTAATGCAGCAGCAGCATGTACAGTACTGATGCAGCAGCAGCATGTACAGTAGTAATGCAGCAGCAGCATGTACAGTACTGATGCAGCAGCAGCATGTACATTATTGATGCAGCAGCAGCATGTACAGTAGTAATGCAGCAGCAGCATGTACAGTAGTAATGCAGCAGCAGCATGTACAGTACTGATGCAGCAGCAGCATGTACAGTACTAATGCAGCAGCAGCATGTACAGTACTAATGCAGCAGCAGCATGTACAGTACTGATGCAGCAGCAGCAGCATGTACAGTACTGATGCAGCAGCAGCATGTACAGTACTAATGCAGCAGCAGCATGTACATTATTGATGCAGCAGCAGCATGTACAGTACTAATGCAGCAGCAGCATGTACAGTACTGATGCAGCAGCAGCATGTACAGTAGTAATGCAGCAGCAGTATATACAGTACTGATGCAGCAGCAGCATGTACATTATTGATGCAGCAGCAGCATGTACAGTACTGATGCAGCAGCAGCATGTACAGTACTGATGCAGCAGCAGCAGCATGTACAGTACTGATGCAGCAGCAGCAGCATGTACAGTACTGATGCAGCAGCAGCATGTACAGTACTAATGCAGCAGCAGCATGTACAGTACTGATGCAGCAGCAGCATGTACAGTACTGATGCAGCAGCAGCATGTACAGTACTGATGCAGCAGCAGCATGTACAGTACTGATGCAGCAGCAGCATGTACAGTACTAATGCAGCAGCATGTACAGTAGTAATGCAGCAGCAGCATGTACAGTACTGATGCAGCAGCAGCATGTATAGTACTAATGCAGCAGCAGCATGTACAGTAGTAATGCAGCAGCAGCATGTACAGTACTGATGCAGCAGCAGCATGTACAGTACTGATGCAGCAGCAGCATGTACAGTAGTAATGCAGCAGCAGCATATACAGTACTGATGCAGCAGCAGCATGTACATTATTGATGTAGCAGCAGCATGTACAGTACTAATGCAGCAGCAGCATGTACAGTATTGATGCAGCAGCAGCATGTACAGTACTAATGCAGCAGCAGCATGTACAGTACTGATGCAGCAGCAGCATGTACAGTACTAATGCAGCAGCAGCATGTACAGTACTGATGCAGCAGCAGCATGTACAGTACTAATGCAGCAGCAGCATGTACAGTATTGATGCAGCAGCAGCATGTACAGTACTAATGCAGCAGCAGCATGTACAGTACTGATGCAGCAGCAGCATGTACAGTAGTAATGCAGCAGCAGCATGTACAGTACTGATGCAGCAGCAGCATGTACAGTACTAATGCAGCAGCAGCATGTACAGTAGTGATGCTGCAGCAGCATGTACATTATTGATGCAGCAGCAGCATGTACAGTACTAATGCAGCAGCAGCATGTACAGTAGTAATGCAGCAGCATGTACAGTATTGATGCAGCAGCAGCATGTACAGTATTGATGCAGCAGCAGGCAGCATGTACAGTACTGATGCAGCAGCAGCATGTACAGTACTGATGCAGCAGCAGCATGTACAGTAGTGATGCAGCAGCAACATGTACATTATTGATGCAGCAGCAGCATGTACAGTACTGATGCAGCAGCAGCAGCAGCATGCAGCAGTACATGTACTGCATGTACAGCAGCAGCATGTACAGTAGTAATGCAGCAGCAGTATATACAGTACTGATGCAGCAGCAGCATGTACATTATTGATGCAGTAGCAGCATGTACAGTAGTAATGCAGCAGCAGCATGTACAGTACTGATGCAGCAGCAGCATGTACATTATTGATGCAGCAGCAGCATGTACAGTAGTAATGCAGCAGCAGCATGTACAGTACTGATGCAGCAGCAGCATGTACAGTATGATGCAGCAGCAGCATGTACAGTACTGATGCAGCAGCAGCATGTACAGTAGTAATGCAGCAGCAGCATGTACAGTACTGATGCAGCAGCAGCATGTACAGTAGTACAGTACTGATGCAGCAGCAGCATGTACAGTACTAATGCAGCAGCAGCATGTACAGTACTAATGCAGCAGCAGCATGTACAGTACTAATGCAGCAGCAGCATGTACAGTACTGATGCAGCAGCAGCATGTACATTATTGATGCAGCAGCAGCATGTACAGTAGTAATGCAGCAGCAGCATGTACAGTACTGATGCAGCAGCAGCATGTACAGTAGTAATGCAGCAGCAGCATGTACAGTACTGATGCAGCAGCAGCATGTACAGTACTGATGCAGCAGCAGCATGTACAGTAGTGATGCAGCAGCAGCATGTACAGTACTGATGCAGCAGCAGCATGTACAGTACTGATGCAGCAGCAGCATGTACAGTAGTGATGCAGCAGCAGCATGTACAGTACTGATGCAGCAGCAGCATGTACAGTATTGATGTAGCAGCAGCATGTACAGTACTAATGCAGCAGCAGCATGTACAGTATTGATGCAGCAGCAGCATGTACAGTACTAATGCAGCAGCAGCATGTACAGTATTGATGCAGCAGCAGCATGTACAGTACTGATGCAGCAGCAGCATGTACAGTATTGATGCAGCAGCAGCAACAAGCATAGTACTGATGCAGCAGCAGCAAGAATAGTATTGATGCAGCAGCAGCAGCAGCAGTATTGATGCAGCAGCATTGTACAGTACTGATGCAGCAGCAGCAAGTACAGTATTGATGCAGCAGCAGCAGCAGCAAGAATAGTATTGAGCAGCAGCAGCAGCAGCAGCAAGAATAGTATTGATGCAGCAGCAGCAACAAGCATAGTACTGATGCAGCAGCAGCAGCAAGAATAGTATTGATGCAGCAGCAGCAGCAAGAATAGTATTGATGCAGCAGCAGCAGCAGCAGCAAGAATAGTATTGATGCAGCAGCAGCAGCAAGAATAGTATTGATGCAGCAGCAGCAGCAGCAAGAATAGTATTGATGCAGCAGCAGCAGCAGCAAGAATAGTATTGATGCAGCAGCAGCAGCAGCAGCAAGAATAGTATTGATGCAGCAGCAGCAGCAAGAATAGTATTGATGCAGCAGCAGCAGCAGCAAGAATAGTATTGATGCAGCAGCAGCAGCAGCAGCAAGAATAGTATTGATGCAGCAGCAGCAGCAGCAGCAGCAAGAATAGTATTGATGCAGCAGCAGCAGCAGCAAGAATAGTATTGATGCAGCAGCAGCAGCAGCAAGAATAGTATTGATGCAGCAGCAGCAGCAGCAAGAATAGTATTGATGCAGCAGCAGCAGCAGCAAGAATAGTATTGATGCAGCAGCAGCAGCAGCAGCAGCAGCAGCAGCAAGAATAGTATTGATGCAGCAGCAGCAGCAGCAAGAATAGTATTGATGCAGCAGCAGCAGCAGCAAGAATAGTATTGATGCAGCAGCAGCAGCACAAGAATAGTATTGATGCAGCAGCAGCAGCAGAATAGTATTGATGCAGCAGCAGCAGCAGCAAGAATAGTATTGATGCAGCAGCAGCAGCAGCAGCAGCAGCAAGAATAGTATTGATGCAGCAGCAGCAGCAGCAAGAATAGTATTGATGCAGCAGCAGCAGCAGCAGCAAGAATAGTATTGATGCAGCAGCAGCAGCAAGAATAGTATTGATGCAGCAGCAGCAGCAAGAATAGTATTGATGCAGCAGCAGCAGCAGCAGCAGCAGCAAGAATAGTATTGATGCAGCAGCAGCAGCAGCAGCAAGAATAGTATTGATAGCAGCAGCAGCAGCAAGAATAGTATTGATGCAGCAGCAGCAGCAAGAATAGTATTGATGCAGCAGCAGCAGCAAATAGTATTGATGCAGCAGCAGCAGCAGAATAGTATTGATAGTATTGATGCAGCAGCAGCAGCAGCAAGAATAGTATTGATGCAGCAGCAGCAGCAGCAGCAGCAAGAATAGTATTGATGCAGCAGCAGCAGCAGCAGCAGCAGCAGCAAGAATAGTATTGATGCAGCAGCAGCAGCAGCAGCAGCAGCAGCAGCAAGAATAGTATTGATGCAGCAGCAGCAGCAGCAAGAATAGTATTGATGCAGCAGCAGCAGCAGCAGCAGCAGCAGCAGCAAGAATAGTATTGATGCAGCAGCAGCAGCAGCAGCAGCAGCAAGAATAGTATTGATGCAGCAGCAGCAGCAGCAAGAATAGTATTGATGTAGCAGCAGCAGCAGCAAGAATAGTATTGATGCAGCAGCAGCAGCAGCAAGAATAGTATTGATGATGCAGCAGCAGCAGCAGCAGCAGCAGCAAGAATAGTATTGATGCAGCAGCAGCAGCAGCAAGAATAGTATTGATGTAGCAGCAGCAGCAGCAAGAATAGTATTGATGCAGCAGCATGCACAATACTGCTTCACCAACTAAATGTAAAGACAAAGCATGGGTGTCTAGGGCACAATATGAAGAAATTGAATGCTAGTAAAAACAGTAATATTACCTTCTCAATAAAAGGATTCATTTTAATGGCAATTACGGCATCATGTTCAGCTTCTAAATACTCGTCTGCTTTAAAGTGAGCCTGGCTGCAATTGGACCAAACCCTACAGTCAAAAGGGTCCTTCTTCTTGGCTGCAAAAATATAAGATTGTATTACATGTCTGTAGATACATTTCTGAACTCTAATGATGATCAAAGTACATTTTGTAATACCATTTCTCAATTACTTATCTCACAGCTTATACAATCAATAGAGTAACTCAGTCTTGGGGCAATCATTTCTAATTCCTGAGCTGCAGATTCTTTACATTTAGAAGTTACATGTAAGCCTAAAGAGCAAACCATTTATTTGGTCATGTAATGGAGTTCTAGGCCTACTGGGGACCAGAGCCAGAACCTTTGGCCTCTCAAAAAGATGCACAGAAGCAATGGCCTAAAGACATCTCCGTGTAATTTGAAGTAGTCTTTGTTTGTTATCTACCAGGTCAGGCACCCAGAAAGGTAGGAATTCCAAAACAAACTACTGCTGGTCAAAAATTGGAAATCGAAAGCTGAACTAGCAAACAGAACTCTCAATCAAAAACTAGGAAACAAACATGACGTCACCACAACCGCCGCGCATCCGTCTGCGCAACCCCCCTTCCCAGGAGTGTGACTGGGGGGGGGGGGGGGGCCAGACCTCCATGCCAGCTATTCTCCTCAGTTCAGAGGCCGAAAAAAAAAAAAAAAAAATTGCAGACTGGAGGGAGGGATGCCGGGGAGCCTCCAGGGTCTCACCCAGAAAATGGTATTTCATCACATTCAATGCTGGTTTTCTGTGGAGAGCTCCTTTGGCTCCCCGGAGGTACCTAACCAAAGATAAAGAAGAAAAGGGACTTACCCGGGAGGTGTGTGTCACTCGCTCCTCAACTCGAAGTCGAGACAACTGCCTGCAACCTGCGACCCAAGGCTACACACACCCGAGAAGGGCCAGGAACAATAACGCGGTACTGTGTTTGTTCGACCTCCAATAGCCCTGTGCCCAAAAGATAATCCAGGACATTACCAAAACAGCAGCCGAATGCCGAATTTACGAACGGCGTGGGCATGGGGAAAGACCGCTGGCTGGCTGGACAGAATAATCCTGCGGACAGCCTGGGAGACCCGCGCCCTGGAATAGGGAAGAAGGGAAACTGAATCAACCCAAAGCGCATTCTCTGTCACACAGGCCGTCGCGTGCAAATAATGGTGAAGAACCACAAACAAACAAAACGTAATGCACCCCTGATCAACCAGGCTGTGACTCATACGTCAGGCTGCAAGCAGCCGCGTCCAACAGCCTGGTTGATCAGTCCAGCAACCAGGAGGCCTGGTCGACGACCGGGCCGCGGGGACGCTAAGTCCCGGAAGCACCTCTAGGTAACCTCAAGGTAACCCCCGGCTGAACCAACTAAGCATCAACAACCCAAGAACCCCTTCGGAAAGCAGCAGACTCATTCTTCGCCAGAAAAGGAGACGGCTGCAAACGAAGAAAAGACCACCAGAACCGAAAGAGCAGAAACCCCTGCGACGGAGAAAAGCATGAAACTCTCTGAACCCCAGAGGCCAATGTCAACAAGAAAAAACCCGTAGACAAACAGTCCTGAACCGAGAGGGCCACCCAAAACCGAGGAGAGGGGAGAAGAGAGCACCAAGTGATATGACCAGGATGGCTCAGGCGGCGCATGAGCAGGCCGGAGGTGAAAACAACGCCAAAAAAGCTTGCGGAACGGAGCAGAAGACATCCATCCCAAATGCAAGGTGCAGCGGCTCTGTCAGCGCCACCTGAAACGAGGCGAAAGTATCTAGCATAAGATGACGGTCCTGGAACAACCAAGAGAGAAAGGATAAAACAACCCGACCAGAAATTGAAGACAAGCTACGAAGAGACAAGTGACGAAAGGACCGCCAGGAAATTTCATACCGCCGTCGAGACAAAATTCACAGGTGGAACATCAACTAAGCCACCTGATCACCATACAAGTGGTGATAAACCCGCGTCAAAAAGATCAGAAGCGAGAAGTAGAAGACCGAACCAGCTACGTACCGGAATGAACCAATCTGCTGACAGAGGCAGAGCTGCGGGAAGACCCTCGGATTTGGACAGGGAGCAAGAAGCGCCCGAAACCAGGGCTGGGCCGGCCACCAAAGAGCCAACAGGAATACTCATCCCTGGTAAGTCTCTCTAAGCTAACCAGGACCCATAGCAATAACTGAACCAGTGAGAAGAGGTACAAGTAACCCCAACTTGACCAGTCCAGCTGAAAGGCATTGACCCCGACAGCCTCGCACACTGGGAAGGGTGCCACATACACTGGAAGACGCCTTGACCAAGTCGATGTGAAGAGGTCCATCTCTAGGTGCCCGTACATCTGGTAGCCAACTAAACGAGTCTGTGTCGACAGTCCATTCCATGATAGGGGAATGAATCGAGACAGGCCATCCACCAGGACATTTGACACCCCGAGCCACACCCCAGGAGAGCCACACCCCGAGAACTCGGCAAACAAGGCACCTGAAGAGACCAGCCCCAAAGAGCCAAGGACTGCATCGAACCCCTGCGGTTCAGATAATGAACCACCGGGGAGCAGTCCAAATTGAGCCACATCATTGCTCCACAAGCAACACAAACTCTCTGAAGCGAATGCCACACCATAGCGAACTCCTGCGCCATGCTGTGAGCCCGACGGAAGGACAGACCCCACTGACTCTGGCTGGCCTGGTGAGCACTGGTCACAACCCCAGCTGAGAGATGAGGCATCCATGAACATGTCGAGCGAGGGCTCAGGGAGGCGTCAGGGCATAGCACCCCGAAAAACCCTTAGAGGAAAACGGCGACACAGCAGCCGATGCAAGGCTCCCGGGATCCAAACACAGCGATCATGAGAACGGCGGAAGGGACGCCCCTGAAGAAACCAGAACATCCGCTGAAGCCAGATCCGACCCGACAGGTAGACCAGCACAGCCAAGATCAGGCGCCACCACCACCTCTCAAACAACTGATGTGTAATCCGGCTGCCCTCCAAAAACAGTCGTAAACGGGACCGCAGCCGCAACAACGCCGCCAGAGGGAGAGACAAGGAAGCGGTCTGACAGTCCCACACAAGACCCAGCCCAGTCCGAACCAGAGAGGGAACCATTTGGGACTTCTTCCAGTACACCATGAACCCGAATCCGGTAAGCTGGTAAGGAACCGAAATCCCTGGCGAGCAGACACATGGATTGGCTGGGAGCCCACACCAGCCAATCGTCGAGGTAAGCCAGAACTCAAATGGGTCAAGCCCCAATCCCCCGAAGGAGAAAGATACAACGCCACCGTAGGCCGGAGGAAAATGACCCGAATTCCCCACGAATCGTGAGACCTGGCGAGAACAAACAGCACGAGCCTCCCCCCTATCGCCCCGCCAACGGGGCGAACTGTGAAGAACCGACGACCTCTACGAGAGCCCGACTGACGCTCAAAGTGATAACCGAGTCAACGACTTCGCAGGAGGGTCAGTCCCAAATCTGGCACTACTGTCTTACAACGACCGAAGGAACCCCCAAGACCTGGCGCGACCTTTCCAGGCAGGACCTCCACGACCCCTAGGAGAATCTACAAGTCCGACATATGCCATCAACTAGACAAAGCCACCTGCAGAAAATGAACCACTGCAGACTGCAATCAGCAACAGACAAAAGGGGGATGAAAATCTAAGAACCAGTGCCCAAAACGATTCCAAAATGGACGAGCACCGCCTGTCAGCACGCGAGACAAGAAGCAAAGAATAGACACCGCCTCCCTCATAAATAGCGCATACAACCTCAACAATGTACTCTCACAAGTCGAGCCTGGCCTCGGGCCGGGCATGGGGAGTAGAAGAACTCCCAAAATCCCATCAAGCAGGTAATGCAGCCGGAGTCCGTGCTGCCGAAGCAAGCACACCGGACACTGGCCTGGAACCCAGCTCCTCCACACCCACCCAAAGCCAGTCCAAAGACAGCTCCAGCAGGGAAAAGAAGAGCAAGACCGAAGCCAAGTGCCCACGGGCGCGCAAATCTCCTTGGCCACTAGGGATGCCGAAAAGGAGGGAACCTGCATGTGAAGCCACACCTGGCCAGCATCATAAGGAAGGATGGGGGCGAACAAGCACGCATCGAGGAGCTCCAACTCGCCCCCCAGGAAAACCTGAATGACCGCAGTCAATTCCCGCCATTCAAGTGCGCGGTCTGACAGGATGAATGCCAAGCCCGCGACAAAAGAAAAGGCAGTTTGCCAGCCAGGAAGACTCTGGCACCTTGTAATGCACCCAATAAAGAAAAGAGGAGCCAAACTCAAAAGAAGAAGGCTTCATTATCGAGGCATAATCCAGGTCTCGCAGGAGGTAAGCTGCCAGGGCCTTCCACACCTTCCTCGGTGGAATGCGGGAAGCCAAAAACTTCCAGAACGAGGGAACCAAAGAGCCCAAGGGAACTGGGAACCGAACCCTGGGAGGAGTAAAACTCATAACAAAATTGTACAAGGAGGGGGATAGGAAAACCCTTCCCCCTGTAACAACAAGCACTGCACCGAAGGTACTAAACATCCAAGCAGGGACAAGTGAGGCTTAGGTTCCCCCAAGTCAACTCCTCACCAGCCCCGGAATCCTCCACGTCAGGACCCGGAGCCGAGCCGTCCTCCAAACCCTCTGCCTTTGGAGAAAATGCAGAGTCTGCCGGAAAAGCAGGGATGAAAGAGGCCTGCTGGCATGGCCCAAAAGCTCTGGCAGGAGGACCAGGCTCGAATGCTTCCGCTGCCGATCTGGAAGGAGCAATTCCCGAAGCCACCCAAGTCTCCCTACCAGTATAATTCAGCGGAGCAGCTGGAAAGGCAACCAACCTTACACGTTGCTGCAACTTAAACCTTACATGCAACGCTAAAGCTGCCTGCATCCAAATATCAGTCTCAGTGGACTGGGTGAATGGAGTACAAGCAAAGAACACCACTCGCAGTACTCCGGGGTCATAGGTGTCACTGACCCCAACAAGCAGCAAGGCGGAGGCAGAAGGTGAGTGTCACCCCAAAACAGGGGAACAGAGCAACCTTAAAACTCGTACAAGTCGAGGTGGGACTCAGAGGTCTCCTACATTTGACCACCGAGCCCCAATGGGGGTTTCCAGGGCCCTTAGGCTGACTGCTAAGGGAAGCCCAGGCGAGGTACTGCTAACCGTTATCCTAGAGCTACCAAGCAAACAATCTAAAAGCTGAACTCCTGCGACGTGTGCAAGCACAGGGACCTAGTGGAGGGCCAACAGTGGTCCTACCACCACACCTGGCAGACCCTCGCCAGGCAAAACAAAACAAAAACAAAACAAAAACCCTGCAAAAGCACAACGTCTCCAGAAGAACAGATCCGGTCACTATGCGTATATCAGACAGCTGCACAGTACCTCGCGCCCCAGCCAGCGACAAAACTACCTCCTAACCCAAGGGCAAACAGGAGTAAGAACCACCCGTCATACTTGTTTCCTTGGTTTTCATTGGGGAGTCCTGTTGTTAGTTCGGCTTTCGGTTTGCAATTTATTTGATCAGCAGTAGTTTGTTTTGGGAATCCTATCTTTCTGTGTGCCTGACCTGTGTGACCTGACATTTTCAAGAGGAAACTAGATTTATTCCTCCAAGGAGTGCCGGACCAACCGGGCTGTGGTGGGTATGTGGGCCTGCGGGCCGCTCCAAGCAACAGCCTGGTGGACCAAACTCTCACAAGTCGAGCCTGGCCTCGGGCCGGGCTTGGGGAGTAGAAGAACTCCCAGAACCCCATCAACCAGGTATCACCCCAGCTGAACCCCCCGAAGGGCGGGCAATCACCGAGCAGCGACAGAACCACACGTAGGTAGCTGCTCCTGAACGGCTCATGGAAGATAACCCTGAAGCCGCAAAAGCAGTACTTACAGGGCACCTAGGGAAGGCGGCCCTAGGTGCATGCAGCCCCAGTACTCTTATGTTACATCTGGCTCACACACCACCAAAACCGAGCAACAACACCGCACTGCAGCAAAGAGTGGAGCCAGAGCGATCGACAGTCACCAACACAACAGCCTCTTGAACTGAGGAGAGTTGCCGGTGTAGAGTTCTGGGACCCCCGTCCCCCTCCTGGGGGGGGGGGGTTGCACAGACGAATGCACTGCGTTTGTGGTGACGTCATACTTGTTTCCTTGGTTTTCATTGGGGAGTCCTGTTGTTAGTTCGGCTTTCGGTTTGCAATTTATTTGATCAGCAGTAGTTTGTTTTGGGAATCCTATCTTTCTGTGTGCCTGACCTGGTAGAAGGCAGACAAAGACTGCTTCCAATTACACGGGGGTGTCTTTAGGCCATTGCTCCTCGTGCCTCTCTTGAGGGGGCCAGGTTCTGGCTCTGGTCCCCAGTAGGCCTAGAACTCCTTCAATTGACTGTTGCCACAGTCCAATATATACACATCAGCCCGGTATAGCTTCGGGGAGCCAAGGGGGCTCTCCACAGAAAGTCACAAATGCCTCCTGAAGGTTACCTCTTGCAATGAATTCAACTCTGCATCGTACCAGGGTTGGTCCCATAAAATGTGTTGAATGGAGGTTGTACTGTATTGTATACAAGCCTAAATCTTATAATTGGACATAACACACATTTTTCCTAAAATATAAAATGGTAATTACTCACTTGCTGCTGTTAAAATTTCAGTGGTTCATAGTATGGCTGCCCTACACATTCCTAAAACCTTAAAAACGTTCCTGGCCTTAGGAACGTTTCATAAGCCTTAGTAGCCTAGGCCACATTCAGGCCATGGAAGGAAAGTGAGGGACTCGGGATGTTTTTTCAAAATGGGGCATGGTTACTAGAGACCTGAGGAAACAAATGTGAGCTGCGTTACACATGGCAGCAAGAGAATTTCTCCAGATGACCCCAATTTTGTCTGAAAATTCGACTCAACTTATGACTTTTATCTCAACTTGCAACTTTGTTGATACACGTATGGGTCGACGGAGCGAGTGGTTCCTGGTGGCACAGGCGACCCCGCTTCAGTTTACTAGACCGCCCTTTTAGTGATGATCGCGCTTGAATCCTTTGTAAAGAATTTCATTGTTTTTCAGCTTTTTTGCTTTCTAAACATAGAAGTAGTAATTATATACCATGCCATGGGTTCCTCAACAATTATTCAGTGGTGTGCAGTATGGGAAGAAATGCAGAGTTTTGTTGAAACAACTCGCTCAAATCAAGCTGCAGTAGGCTGTTGCTTTAACCTTTTCAATGACACTGTGATGCCTCACTACAGACAAATGTTAAAGCATAGGTAAAATTGAGTCTCTATGCAAAGATTCTTAGTGAGACAAACAAGCAATGAGCCACAACCAGATCCTAGTGGCATGTAGGCAAAACGTCGGAGAGAGAGTACCCCAGAGAAGTCATAACTGCCTTATGTTATAATGGAAGGGGACTGCCCTTCCAAACAGCAACACCTCCCCACACCCTCCTCGCCATCTTCCATATGCCAACAAGAGTCATCAATAAAGGTAAGGAATAACTTGTACATACTATAGTACAAAATGTGTGTGTATTATGTATGAAATGTATTTGTATTTTGAAGTTAATATTTTTAGGAGTATGGAATGGATTAATTCAATTTACATTATTTATGGGAAAATTTGTTTCGAGTTATAACCCGTCTTTGGGAACGAATTAAATTCATAAACGGAGGTACCACTGTATATACGATTTTCAGGAAAATGCTCTCTTCCTTTATCCTTTACTCCACCTTCCTTTAATGATTTCATTGCTTTAATTGTGTATCCACCTGTGTGTGCACATGTACACATAAAAACAGCAGTGTTACTTACCAGTATCATAAAATGCAATTGCTTCACTATATTCCTGTTGTTTGAAGGAATTGTTACCATAGTGTCGCAGTTTTTCAGCTTCTTCTTGTAGCTGCTTACACTGAAATATTAAATATGTTTAATACTTTACTTTAAAGAACCTTTAAAGAAACGTATTAGGGAAAACACAGTTATTAAATAAAATATTTTCTTTGGAAATCATTTAAAGTTTCTTAACACTTTCGAGCTCTTGTGGTGCTCGAGAGCGTTACCAATTTTTCTCTTGAGCCCGCGTAACGGACTCGCTCACGAGTCACGAGAAAAAATATTTCTACAAAATCCATTTTTTATCTGATCGACTTTGGGATAGTTTAAAATTGTTTGCCATGAAATTTCCGTTTTCTCTAATAGACGCATGGCCTATTTGGGAAAACGGCATGGCATTGCATCATCATGGTAAGACCATTGTATTGTTGACACGACGAGTGTAATCGACGTAGTTTTTTATTTGGTGCCGGTCTAACGCATCCTTGTGTGACATTTTATACTTATGCTCTTCTAGAACATTCTATTGTGAACACATTGCTACAAAAATTAATGTCAGAGCATAGAAAAGAGTATACACTTTTCAATAGGGGTTTCGCCGATGTGCCGTCATGGGTAACACTTCGGCCACTTCCCACACTGTTGCAGGTGGGCTGCGACATTGATTCTACATTTATACGCATATGTCCGCGTAGGGAATTTTATTGCAATCTCAGTGAATACCAAATTTAAAGCTGTAGGACAAGTGTGGAGTTGACAACCCTAAAAAGAGTAGAAACCTTTCTTCGCTGTTTGGCACTTACGGCTAGTGGTCAACGTAGTTCTTTATTTGGTGCTGGTCTAACTCATGCTTTGGTGACATTTTATACGTATGTTCTTCTAGAACATTTTATTGTGAACACATTGCTACAAAAATGAAATGCGTACATCGAAAATTAAGGTCAGAACAGTGAAAAGAGTACACACTTTTCAATAGGGGTTTCGCCGATGTGCCATCGGGTGTGCGGTAACGGGTAACATTTTGGCCACTTCCCACACTCTTGCGGGTGGGAAGTGATCATGATTCTACATTTATATGCACATGTACTCGTAGGAAATTTTATTGCGATCTCAGTGATACCAAATTTAACGCTGTAGGACAAGTGTGGAGTTGACAACCCTGAAAAGAGAAGAAACAATTCGTCGCTGTTTGGCACTTACGGCTAGTGATCGACATAGATCTTTATTTGGTGCTGGTCTAACTCATGCTTTGGTGATATTTTATACGCATGTTCTTCTAGAACATTCCATTGCGAACACATTGCTACAAAAATGAAATACGTACATCAAAAATTAAGGTCAGGACAGTGAAAAGATTATACACTTTTCAGTGTTGCTGCTCGATCGCCCGAAATGCTGCATGCACAAGGGGTAAGTTCTTTTTTCATTTGCCGAGAGCTCGAAAGTCTTAATTAATTAAGTAACCAGAATCAATCTATGGAATCAATTGCAGATCAAGGTTCTTACACACTTAGGCAGTCAAACCTTATATAATACTCACGTTTTATATGTTTTTATTAACCATTTGTCTTTCACGTTATTTTACAATTAGTGTGTAAAAAGCTAGCGTTGAATGTAATGAAATTCCATTTTCTGGGCGAGCCCCTGAGGATCCCTGAAGCTATCCGAACTGATATGTGCTTTATTAGTTTGGGTGCTCATGTGCCGCATGTGACTGCTTGGTCTTTGGACCATGTTCTTTCCTTTCTTTCTACTCCTCGCTTTGTTGTGGCCCCTTCAGTTCATGATTGCTTTTAAAAGGCTTTGTTTTTGTTAGCCTTGGCCTCTGGGGGGTTGGGTTGGGAGCTTCATGCTCTTCCCCCACCACCAAGGGTTCTATTTGTTTGGTCCAGGTGGTTGTGTTCTTCTTTTGCAGGCTCCTTCTCCTTTTCTGATAAAGAATGAGACGGCTGGCTTCCAGAGGGGTCCATTGGTTGTGTTGGTTGCAGACACAATACTTGGTTGGTTAGACCAAGGGAGCATCACGTGTTGTGTCTGTTGGCGGCTTTATGTGACTACCTGTGGGCCACTGGCTCTGTGCCGGTGTACGCTCTCTGGGCAGATCCAGCATCCCTGGTTCCCTGTTCTAGGGCTCATGTCTCGGGTTGTCGCAGTGTCATTAAGTCTAGCCAGCCTGTGGTTTACCCTCTTACCCATGTTGTTAGGATGTATGCTGCTCTCACGGCAGATTTTGGCAACATGTCTTGGGTCGACATTCAACGCGGGGGTTTTGGAGGTCGCACAGGGCCCTGGTCGCCAGGTATCTCATGTATGTTTTGTTTCCTTCCAGGCCTTGTGTGACCTTGGGTCGCCTGTCGCAGCCATCTGTTTTTTCCTCATCTTGAGACCTGTGGTGCTGCTGCTGCCTCCTGAGTAAGTCCCTGTTTTTAATTATCTTCGGGTAGTTAGCTTCATGGAGTCGACGGGGCTCCCCACAGAAAAGAAACATTGGATGTTATGAAATGCCATTTTCTGGGTGAGCTCCAGAGGCTCCCTAACACTCTCCCTCCCTCCAGTTGGCAGTTTTCATCATTCAAGAACTTGTGTGGTGGGGAGGGGGGGGAGGATGTTAGCTTCAGGGGTGGGGAGATAGCACTAACGAGTGGGAGCACTAGTGGCATGCAGGGTTGTTTGTCTGATTTTTTCTAGGAGTTATTTTGATCTCTTAGGAAGCAGATTGCACAGGTTAACCAGAGAGTGGTCTGTTTTTGATTCGTCTACTTTTCTTGGTCCTTCCCCAGTCGATGACAACTATGACATGCTTTAAATGTATAGTGCTCATAGGCCATTGCTCCCTGCGCCTCTCTGATGGAGGCCAGGTTCTGGCTTGTGGTCCCCAGTAGGAATAAGGATAGCACATACCAGTTCAGATAACTTCTGAGAGCCAAAGGGGCTCCCCATAGAAAGGCAGGTCTTTTATTCACTTAGATGTTTATTATTAGATATAATATAGTTCAGAATATTTCTTGCAAAATCCAATGTTGAATGTAATTAAATGCCTCATTCTAGAGGAGCCCCAGATGTTTCCTGAATATATCTTAATCAGATTGGTCCATATTAAGAGATCACATCAGTTGCTGAGATGATACCAGCCAGTAGGTGAAATCAGCCATGGAATTCTGTAGGCCACTAGGAAACAGCACCAGAACCTGGCCCACTCACAGAGACGAAGAATGAGTCAGATGGCTTCTGAAGCGGTCTTTTGGTCATTGATGCTTATCTGGTATGGCCGGGGTACATCAGGTGCTGTGTCTGGTAGTGACTCTCCACCGCTACCTTCGTGCCACCGATTCTGCTTTGGTAGATGCTTTATGGGTCGATCTTGTTTCCTTGGATCCCCATCCTGTTCCAAGGCTCGTCTTTCCCAGGAGAAAGACTGTTCATAGTGTTTGTGGGTCCAGCCAGCCTGCATCTACCCTTATACCCAAGATGTTAGAAAGTATGCTGCTCTTTCAGCAGTATTCACACACTGGGCTGGGTAAATATTCCAGCATGGGGTTTTGAAGATTGAACAGGATTCTGGTAGCCTAGTATCTAGTGAATGTTCCTGGGCCTCAGAGCCCTTGTGTGTCACTGGGTCATCTCTCTCAGCCGGGGGTCTCGTCTTTGTTGTGTCTTCTGCAGTGCAAACTCCTCCCTGGTGTGTTACCATGTGTTTTCTTTCTCTGTGGGTAGATAGCTTCAGGGAGCCACAAGGGGCTCTCCCTAGAAAACCAGCATTGAATGTCATGAAACACCACTTTCTGGCTGAGCCCCGATGGTTCCCTGATCCTCACCCACCCTTCCTGGTCATAGGGTGGATGCCTACATCTGCCCAGAACTGAGAGCTGGGACCTAGTTAACAGTGAGCTACCTTCCCCAAATAAGAGGGAGGTGGGGCAAATGAGCTTGTGCTAGTTCCAAGAGAGTTCAATCATTTGTTCTTTCTATTTAATATTATTTGCAAGTTGAAGCCAAGTTGTGTGGCAAGAGTAAAAGGAACTTCCTTGCCATGGATGATGTGACCATAAAAAAAAATAGGTTATGTCAGGAGAGGAAAGTGGTTGGCAGAAAAAAACAGCGTTGAATGTAATGAAACGCCATTTTTCTGAATGAGACACAGAGACTCCCTGGAGCTTATTCAGGCTGATATGCTAATGTCAGACTTTGGCATCAGTCATGTGTATGGAGTTCTACGGGCCTACCGGAGACCAAGAGCCAGAACCTGGCCCCCTCAGAGAGGCAAGGGGAGCAATGGCCTATAAAAAACCCCCCGTGTGGTTGGAAGCATTCTATGTCTGCCATCGACCTGGTCAGGCACCCAGAAAGGTAAGCGTCCCAAAACAAACCCCTATTCTGGTGAAAATTGCTACAAGCCGAACAAGTGGATAGAACTCCCCTAAAAGAAACGAGCAAACAATCATGACATCACACGTTACCGCGCCGCTGTCTGCGCAGCTCCCCGGGAGTGGAAAGGGAAAGCCCCAGACCTACCGCGCCGGCTATCCATCATCAGTTCTGAGGCCGGATGTAAAAAAAACGCGAAAAAACGCCGACCGGAGGGAGGGAAGGATGCCGGGGAGCCTCCGGTTCTCACCCAGAAAATGGCGTTTCATTACATTCAACGCTGGTTTTCTGGGGGGGGGGACCCTTTCAGCTCCCCGGAGCTAACTACCCACAGAGAAAAAAAAGAAGGATGTACCCGAGACGCTGTCGCTGCACACTCCCCAACTCAAAGTTGAGACAACTGGCTGCAACCGCCAATCCAAGGCGAAACAGGCCTGAATGGGCCTGGGAACAACACAAGATATCGAGCAGCCAGGCCCCTGTACGACCGCCGAAAGCCCTGTGCCCGAATGTCAGCTAGGACATCCCCCCAAAACAGCAGCAAGAGTACCGAATCTACGAACGCCATGGGCACGGGAAAAGAACACAGGCTGGCTGGCCACAATAACATGGCGGACGACCCGGGAGACCTTAACCCGTAAACAGGGAAGAACGGAACCTGATCAACCCAAAGTGCGTCCCGGACACAGAAGCCGTGGCGCGCAAATAACAGCGGAGGGCCACAACCGGACACAAAACACGATGCACCCCCGGCCCAACCAACCAAGCACCAACAAACCAAAGACCCCCCCGGAAAGCAGCAGCCTCACTCCATGCCAGAAAAGAGGAAGACGGCTGCAACTGAACAAACCAATCGACACAACCGAAGGAGCAGAAACCCCTGCCCCGGAGGAGAGCAAGAAGCTCAGTGACCCGACCCCTAAAGGCAAATGCCAACAGGAAAAAAAGCCTTCGAGAAACAAACCCGAACCGAAGGGGTCACAACCAACCGAGAAGAAGAACCGCTATCCAGAGACCAGGACAGCTCAGGCCGCGCATGAGCAGACCAGAGGTGAAACAAAGCACAAAACAGCTTACGAACGGCGCAGATGTAACACCAAGACCGAAAGCAAGCCGAAATGGCTCCGCCAGTGCCACACGAAACGAAGCGACAGTATGCGGCAAGATGACGGCTCCGAACCTCCACCAGAAAAGCCAAGCAGACGCCAACAAAAGCAGCCATCTAAGAAGGGACAGAAGGAAAAGGAAGGACCGCCAAAATACCCCATAATGCCACCAAGAAGAAGCACGCAGGTGGGACACCAACAACAAAGCCACCTGACCACCAACCGAAGGTGAAAGACTCGAGGCAGAACCTAAACAGCACTGTCAAGGTTTATTTGAGCCTAGAAAATGGTGGAGCTGAAGGAAGATCTTGGGTGCAGCCACCGAGCAAGCAGAGCTGGAAACCCAAGCCGGCAAAGAAGGAGATGGAACGTCTGCCGAACAGAAAACTCCCGAACGCGAGCGAGCTCGCCAGATCGGAGACTATGGGTCCGACGTGAGACTCCAGAGAAGGAACACCGCAAGACCCTGAAAATGCCAACAGGCAGGGCAAGCCAGGAAAACAGGAACCCAAACCTGGCAACAGGAGGGCCAAGAGAGAAGCAGGAAGATGAGGAACGAAGGCAGCATGCAGCAAATCGGGTGTGAAGGGGACACGACCAACCCACAGTCGCAGTCCCTGTCCCAACAAACCAAACTGAAGAAGGTGCAAAGGGTTGCCATCAGACCAGTACCCGAACCAAGGGGTACGAGCAACAAAGACAGACACATGCACACAAGTGCACACGCACCATGCAACACAGGCGGAAGAAATGCCCAAAGAAGCCAAAGAAACACAAGAAGGAAACATGCCAGCAGCATAGTAGTAAACAAATGGAATGCACGAGGAAGGGAAGTGGTGGAGGCCAACCCCACACACACACAGCTGCAAGTTCAGACCTGACAGAGCCCAGGAGATGTCAGGGAAGCGACAGGAAAGAGGCAGGACGAAAGAGCCAAAGCTCAACCCCAGGAAGCACAGCCAGGGGCGGACAGAGAAACCAATGTACTTGGAAGGGCCAAGCCAGGCAATCCAAGACAGGAAAGGAAAGAGGTACCCCAAATAAGACCACAAAAAACACCACAAGCAATCCCAACACACAACCCCAGGCACAAAACTGCAGCAAAATGTCACCCCACAACATCCAGACACAGTAACAAGTACCACATGACACCGTGATACATGTTACCAATGCACACATCCACCAGCAACATACACCACACGCAACATGGAACAAGTAGTAACTTCTCTCGGCAAAGGCAGAGAAATGGTGGAGGCCGACTCCAAACAGGGTCAAATGTAGATATGATAAGAGCCCAGCAGGCTCAGGAACCTGCACACCAGGCGATCGACGGTGGAGAGGCAGGACCAAAGAGCCAGAGCTCATTCCCCGCAAGCACAACCAGGTGAGCACACAACCTGCACCTCAACCATCGTACCTCGTAACATGGATGAAGTAGGTCCCTTGATCGACTCGAGTATGGGTTAGACATGCATATGAGTGGGACTGGACGGATCAAAATAGAGGCAATCACCTGTGTGCTGACGGTCTTATATTCGTATCCAAAAACCACGAACCAGCACATGGCTGAAAGAGACGCCAGACTGCAGAAACTCACCTACCGAACGTAGGCACAAATGTGTCCCGACAATATTGCCGAGAAGATCCCGGGAGCACCGCCAGAGAAAGAAGGCCAGAGCCGCACACACAGGAGAGCAGGGTAAAGGAGAAGGAGGCGCCCCACACCCATGATACAGGGAAAACCCCCGTGTCCTCCCCATAGCTGCAATCTAGAACACCCCAGGAGCTACGAGGCACGGACCGGAGGATGGAGAAGAGCGAGAGGCGAAGCACCTGAGAAAAAAGGACGCAAAACACCAGCACTGGTGCACATGGCCCAGACCAAAAACTCCCATGGCGCATGCACAGGACATGCTGTCCAAACCGCACAACCTGCTCGGCAGGAAGGCGCCAACTAGGAGTACTTTAAACGAAAAGTAGCCAAACAGTTCGCAACCCGAGTGAACCGCTAAATAGAAGAAACAGCCCATTAATTGGACAGGAGCCAGAAGAGGAGTAAGCAGCAACAACATAGCCGGCTTACGAAATGATGACAAAGAACCTAATCACTAACCCAACTGGGCTACAAGTAGCTCAATCCAGCGTCCCGGACTAGGAATATGTAAAGAAAACGAGCAGTGCCGAGACAGAGCACGGAGAGAAAAGACAGCACAAAAAAAGACAGGACCGAAAAACCAAGAATAAGCACAGAAGAAGACCAACAAGCCCTAGAAAGGACCGGAGGGAAGCCACACCAAAAAATGACAGACGTTCCAATAATACGGGAAGTAGCGAAAAACCTTCCCAAACCTTCAAGAACACAGAAGCAAGCACACGTCACGAAAGCACAGAAAGGCACAGTCACACCCGAGACCAAAAGTCATGTAGAACCCCAAGAAGAGGGGAAACATGATGGAGAAATCCCGTCCTAGGAAAAAGTGGGGAATAACGGAGAAGAGCACCCACCAACAGGACGGAACCAACTGGCTCAAGTGACAAGGAACCGAGCCCGGGGAGGAGCCGACGCCCAACAACTCGTAAGGGAGAGGGGGGGGGGGGGGGGAACCCACTCCGCGCAACCGCAAGCCCTGCCTAGAGGGCAGAAAAACCCCCGTGAGGTCCATCAGGGTACTAGGCCCCCTAAGTCAGCCCCTCCCCAGCCCTGGGAACCCACACGGCAGGCCCCGGGGCCGAGCCGTCCCCCCAAAGCCCCGGCCTCACAAGAGAAAACCGGGGCAGCTGTGAAATTACTAAGGAAGGGAGCCCACTGGCAGACTCTTACAACACGGCTGGAGGAACAGGCTCGAATGCCCCCCTCGCTACCCCAGAAGGAGAATTCCCCGAGATCGCCCGAGTCTCAAAACCAACAAAGCCCCCCCCCATACCCCAAACCCACAGATGGTAAGGATCAGGATGCAGGTAGGAAGGGGAGACCAGACCAGACCACAACAGTGGAAAGACAAGGGGGCGTGGAAGGAACTGAAGCCCCAACACCAACCAAAACGGGGCAGCCTCGGGGGTGCTAACTGGCGCTCAAATCTACCAAACAACCTTCTAAGAACTGAACCCTCAGGACGTGCACACTCACGGGGACCTAGCAGGGGGAACCACCGGAAGAAAAAAGATACTCAGTATACAGGGGACACAGGGGGCAAGAACAAAGGCAGACCCCCCCCCCACCAGGCAGATAAACAAAAAGACTTCCCCCCCCCCGCAAGAGAACAGTGTACCCAGGCAGAACAGAGCCGGCCGCCATGAATGATGAAAACAAGCTGTGCAGTACCCTGCACCCCACCAGTGCAAAACTGCTCCTTACTCTAAGGCGAACAAGGGAGACAGCCTTACCCTAAGGCGAACAAGGGAGACAGAACACCCGAGCACACAAAGGGCGGCCGAAAACCAAGCAGTAAATGGCCTAGCAGGGGCAGAACCCAAAGAATCTGTGGAAGGTGGCTCCAAGCCCCAAGGGCAGTACTTACAGGACACCTAGAGAAGGAAACCCTAGGCACCTGCAGCCTGAGTACTGGAGAATCACTCTCGGCTCACGCACCACCTAGAAGACAGTCACCACACTCTAGGTACAGTGCTGAAACAACCACCGGAGCCAGAGCACACGATTTCAGCCTCTAGTATCAGCCAAAGAACTGATGGTGGATAGCCGGCGCGGTAGGTCTGGGCTACCCCTTCCCCCTCCCGGGGAGCTGCACAGACAGCAGCGCGGTGATGTGTGACGTCATGATCGTTTGCTTGTTTCTTTTAGGAGAGTTTTATCCACTTGTTCGGCTTGTGTTACCTAGTGGGGGGGGGGGAAAGACCACCAGAAAACAACCGTGCACAGGTCGGGCACAAAAAAAGGGCGAAACAAGGCAGAACCCCCCATAAGGCAAAACCAAAACCCCGCAAGAGGACAACGTTCCCCAAGGAACAGAGCCGGCCGCTGAAGTGGTGAAAACAAGCTACGCAGTACTCTGTGCCCCACCAGTGCAAACTGCCTTTTACCCTGACATTAGCATGTCAGCCTAGTAAGCTCCAGGGAGCCAAAGGGGCTCCCCCCAGAAAAATCACTTGATTGACAGTTGAGAGGCGGGCCCAAAGAGCCAGAGCTCAACCCCCGCAAACACAACTAGGTAAGTATAAGCTGGACAATATGCCATGTTTGACTTTGTGAGAGAAAAACAAAGTACAAAAGCTGTACATGTGGAGAGACCTGAACCAAACCCTATATACTCACCCCTCTTATGTGTGGCCCAATTCTTGGATCAATGCTTCTCTGAAAAGAAAATATTTATATTACCAAAACATTTTTAGGGATGTCCTTAGTTCCATAAATATTTACTCTACAAGATATTCAAAAAGAACAATTCCTATGACAACATCTACATTAGCAAAATAACCTTATTACAATTTTACAATACAATTAATAATTTCTTCATATGACAAGTTGGATCACACAAGTGGACCACACAAGTGGACCACACATGTGGGCCACACAAGTGGACCACAAGTGGTCCATAAGCTTACAATGTTGGGACAGAGTTCACAGAGTGGTGGAAAACTGTCTCATTCTATCTACAATTAATAATTCCTTCATAAGACAAGTTGGATCACACAAATGGACCACACAACAAGTGAACCATATGAACCAAACAGCAGCCAGAGTGGTCCACACAAGTGAATGACTGAGTTTCAATGATTTTCATTCACTGATTTGTGGCACACGTATCTTTGTAAATTAAAGACTGAAGCGTGAATAGCTAGCTAATGTGTTGAAATCTTCTTATATACATTTTCTGTGATGAAACAAGATGAGTGAGGGTGGACACATAAGGGAATACTGTACTGTAAACCTCACTTTACAGTGGCACACCACAGGACTTGCACTTATAACTTGTGTCCCTCCTTTTACTAGACATTTTGCAAACACGACACCTCAAACGCTTCTGTATATTTACTAGGGAATGGCACAAGTTCCTGTTCAGACGTTTTGGATTATCCATAATACAGGGTTTTTCCTGGCAGAAGCACCACTAGGGATATTCTGACTCTCGTCTACTGAGTCAGATGATGAATGTACAACTTGAGGTGAAGTGAATAGTGGCCGCCTCACACCCGATGGTCCGGGTGTTGCAACATTGTGGGCACCTCTACTGGAGACATTGTCATTTACATCAGCACCATGTGTGATGTTATCATTTTGCAGAGGCCAATTCTTAGGCTGAAAGTGCAGTAGTGACAAAATGACTACTTCGTGGAAATGGAGTAATGCGAGTTTCTTTGTATCTGTTTTGTAGTAATTGTACAACATAAGAGCATTATGGATAGCCATTTGCAGAAAGTAGAAAGTCATTTTCTTTGTCCACTTGTGACTTTCCTGTGTGAATTGATAATATTTGACCATTTAGTCAAAAAGTTCTTAGCCTCTATTCAGTCTTGGATTGCAATGTTTTCAGTTGTGGCTTGTAATGGTTCGTCTACCTTTCTGGGTGATACTCCAGGTTGATGGCAGACATGACTATACTGTACTCTCAACCAGTATTGGTCATAAGCCATTGCTCCCTTCACCTCTCTGAGGGAACCAGATTCTGGCTTGTGGTTCCGAGTAGGCATACAGACTCCAGTAACTGATGCTCTAAACTAATAAGGTGGATATCAGTCCGATAGGTGGAGATCAGTCCATCAGGGAGCCGACAGGGCTCCCTCCAAAAACATACTTTTTTGCTGTTATTACACTGAATACATACGTTATATATCTTAAATTTTATGGACCATTACGAATCACAGTGCAGTCCTGGAAGGTGTGATAATCCTGTAATTCAAGCACAGCACTACTCCACACATTAGCCAGTTGCCGACGGCACGACACAGCTTACTGTAACAACAACACAGCAATTATTATTAAAATCTTGGCCACCAAATTCTGAATATGAATCATTTTCCACAAGTTCATTTTATTAAGGAGCATGATATCCTGTTTCATGATGAGCAGACACGCCAAACCGTTGCTGTGTGTTGTGAATGACTGCCTCGTGCAGGGAACATCATAACCAGCATGGTATCACTGATATCTGAACTGTGTACATAGTCTATATCACATTTAGGGTCTTCTATGACACTATCATCATTAAATCTTAGCAGTTACATATTTATTCTATAGCTATTCAGTAATGCTGTGCTGTAAGCAGATGCCGCATGCACTACTCATGGTCACTTACTCAGAACTGAAGCTCTCACACCCAGGAGAGGTGGCTCACAATTTTTGTTTTTAAGATGGCATCTATTTACTGGAGAAAGGATCATCATGTGGCTTATTACTATTGATACCACTGATCATAAGGCTAGCCAATGATATGATGATGAAATAATATTTTATATTATATTATATTATGATGAAATTATATTTATGTTTATATTTGTTAGATACACACATTCACATACAGTTTATTACTTACCAATATGTGATGGATGTGATTGATAGCATCAACATAGGAGACATTAAAATTTAAAGATCCTAAAAGTTGATTAACAGTGGTGTGAGCTTCCAGTAATGTGTAACGTTTGATATAGAGGGTATGGAGTCCTTTGTCCCCATATGAATGCTGGTCTTCTGATTGGTTTTCCACTAGCACAAAATACACCTGCAATTATATACATGTAATGTAAAATTAAAGAGGATCATTACATGAATATGTATATTGTATTCATTTTTAGTGATTTTTTTTTACTAATAATGTAAGCTGATAGGCCTCTCTTTCAAGCCAATAGTAATCATTATTAACGCCAATTAACTGGTGTTTTAAATATAAATAAATAAAATAAATGTAAATAAAATAATGTAAATAAAAAAAAATCACTAATAAATTACATTCTGTTAATAATCATTTTTACTACACAAGCTCATAAAACTCATATAAAACAACTATAACTCATAAATAGAATGAATAAATTAATATTAAATGACTTTCCACCTTTTACAATATAAAACCTTTCTGTAATAAATGACATTACTAAACATTACTAATGTAGAAAAATATTACAGTACCTGGTTTTCAATAACTAGTGGAAGAACTCACCTCATGAATAGCAAGAACAGCACCAACATGGAAAGAGGGATTTAATTTTTCTTTCAAAATGATGGTCACAGGTGAAACATGCTTTCCATCTGAGAGCCGTAAGTAGCATGACACATCAGAAGTTGCAAGAAAAATAACCTGTAAAGAAAATGGGCTCAAAATAAATACACACCCATTATTTACATATATATATATAATATATTATAACACACACACACAAACACACACACAGTGGCACCTCGACTAACGAGTTTAATCCGTTCTGGCACCGAGTTCGTTATGTGGAAAACTCGTCTTGAGAAGCAAATTTCCCCATTTAAAATAAAAGAAATAAATTTAATCCATTCCACTCCCAAAAACATCCATACTGTACTTGTATGACATTTTTTAATGTAAATATAATACTACACATGTAATTATAAATATTTTTGTTGTACTGTTTTCATGTTTACTTTACCTTATGAAGAGTCATTGCTGGCTTGAGGGAGACGATGGGGAGGTGGGAAGGAGGAGAGGGGTTATGGTGTGGAAGGAGAATCCACCTCTGAGTCAAGCGGGCTCTCTCTTCTTGGGAATTTCACCCCACTGGGACCAGGTTGTGGTTCACTATCACTGGCTTTTCTTTTCTCTACTTTTGCAAAGAACGAGTCTATTGACAATTGCTTTTGTCTTTGTTTTAGGATGTTCCTAAAACAAGACAGCAAATTGTTATTAACACTTTCGCGCTCTCGGCGCTCAAAAAAAACAATACCCCAGATGCTTTCGGCACTTCGCGCGCCTACGCGGTAAGACCGAAAAAGTGTACACTCTTTTGACTGTCCTGACAATAATTGAAGGCGCACGTATTTAAATTTGGTATCACTGTGTTCGCAATGAAATTGTCTATAAGAGCATACCTATAAAATGCCGCCCAAGCATAAGGAGTATCAACACCAAATAAAAAACTATGCAGATCACTCGCCGAGAGCGCCAAATGGCAACAAAATGTTTCCACTTTCTTAATGGTTGCGAAGCCTACAGTTGTCCTACATCGCTAATTTTGGTATTATTGGAATCACAATAAAATTCTCTACACGGACATATGCATATGAATGTTTAATATAGGTAATTGCCCACCCGCAAGAGTGTGTGAAGTGGAGAGTAGTTAGCCGCGAGCGCACTGGCGAAAACACAGGGGGGAAATCGTGCTTGGAAAGTTTATACGTTTCCTGACCCTACTTTTCTATGTACGTATTTCTTTTTTATACCAATGTGTTCGCAATAAAATTTTCTATAAGATGAACTGTATAACATTGGTACAAAGCATGTGTAAGAGAAGCGCCAAATATAGAACCACGTCGCTCAGTATGCGTTCGCGGCAGAAACGAACGCATTGTTTTCGTTCGTTTGATGTTTGTCATGTTTATACTTGTTGAAACATTTTATAATTTGTATGACAGTGATCGCAGTAAAATTCCCTACACAGACATATACATAACACATACAAATATTTCCCACGTGTTGGATATATCAGCGGCTAAAGGGAACCCACTGCCACACGCTCGCCACACCCCCAAACATACTTTGTGTATTTTTTTTTTTACTCATAGAAGTTTATGTGATATAATATTCATTCTGGTACCAAAAAAATCGCAAATACATTCTCTACAAAACAAAAGTATCCCCATCCATTTCGGTTAAAAAATGGAATTTATAGAAATATTTTTTCGATGGACGAGAAAAGTAGGCTGTTATGCGGAATCGAAAGAAAAAACAGTGACGAGTTATCTCTAATATAAAGCGCGAAAGTGTTAAACATGTTCACACACCGGGTTGTCACTGCTTTATCAGAGTGATGTTTTTCTAAGAATGCGGTAACCTTTTCAAACAAGAAAAGTTCACCTCTTGATTAAGCTCCTGAAGTTTCAGGAGTTCCTCAGTGGTCAGTTCCTCACTGTGCTCCTCCACTAACTCATGCACATTAGCAGCATCCAACTCCAGGCCCCAAAGTTTGCTCCAGAGCAACAATATCATCCACTAGATGCACTTCCGGGTCTTCCACAGGTGCAGATGCAAGTGCAGGACCGAAACCTTCGAAGTCTCGCTCAGGGACACCCTCAGGTCACAGGTTATGCCACGCAGAGTTTAGGGTCCTCTGTGTCACTCCTTCCCAGGCCTTATCGATCAAACGTAAGGCACCCAGGATATTGAAGTGATTCTTCCAGAATTCTTTGAGGGTCAGCTCTGTATTGTCTATCACATCAACACACCTCTCCAACAAGGCCTTCATGTAGAGCTTCTTAAAGTTTGCAATGACTTTCTGGTCCATAGGTTGGAGGAGTGGAGTGGTATTGGAAAGAAGAAACATGATGATGATAAATTGATTTTCGGGAAACAATTCTTCTTGCATCTGTGGAAGATGTGCAGGAGCATTATCGAGCACAAGCAAGGCCTTGAGTGGCAACTGCTTCTCTTCAAGATATTTCCTCACTGAAGGGCCAAAAACATCATTGACCCATTCAGTGAATAATATTTGTGTGACCCAGGATATCTTATTTGGACCTCAACATCACATTCAGTCGCGCCTTGTACACTTTACACGCCTTGAACACGCGTGGATTTTCTGAGTGGTAGACTAGCAGCAGCTTAACCTTGCAATCGCCACTTGCATTGGCGCAGAGCATGAGAGTAAGCCGATCCTTCATCAGTTTGTGGCCAGACAAAGATTGTTCCTCTTGTGTGATGTAGGTCCTCTTCGTCATTTTCTTCCAAAAAAGGCCGTCACATCACAATTAAAAACTTGTTGGGGTAAGAACTCCTCTCTACCAACAAATTCCCTGGAACTCTAGTACAAATTTCTCGGCAGTAGCTTTATCAGAGCTGGCAGCCTCCCCATGTCGCACAACACTGTGGATACTGCTTCTCTTCTTAAATTTCTCAAACTATCCACAGCTTGCCTTAAATATCTCCTCCTTTTCAGATGACTCACCTGGTGTCTTCCTGACAAGGTCCACATACAACTTCTTGGCCATTGCACAAACAAGAGCTTCAGAGACACTATCGTCATATAATTGCCTTTCATTCATCCAGACCAGCAGTAGCTTTTCAACCTCTTCTAGGATTTTTGGACGTTTCTTGGTAACCTTGGTAACTCCTTTAGCCACCTCAAGCGTCTTAAATTGTTCCTTCGTCTTCAGAATGGTACAAATCGTTGATGAGCAGCTGCCATACTCCCTGACGAGATCAGTCACACGGACACCACGCTCGTGCTTTGCTATGATTTCCTTATTCACTTCCATGGTAATTGTCGCTTTCTTCCCCTTCCCAACATTGTCTTTAGCAAGCAGCTTCTTTGGCGACATCGTGCATTACAAATTGTAGTCACAAAACCACAAAAAAAAAAAAAACGCAAATAAATCCAGAGGGATGCTTGTCGTGAGCGATACAACAATAACACTGGCATCGGAGGCGTCCGAGAATTTGGGAGAACCCGCGAGACGCTAGGAAGCACCATGTGGTTTTGCTCGTTAATTTAATAGAGGTGAAGCTAGTCAATAGAGTCAAATTTGCTGCGAGTGGCTTGCTCGTTACTCGAAATGCTCGTAGATAGAGCCGCTCGTTAAACGAGGTGCCACTGTAATTACCTAAGTGTAATTACCTAAGTGTAGTTACAGGATGAGAGCTACGCTCGTGGTGTCCCGTCTACCCAGCACTCTGTCATATAACGCTTTGAAACTACTGATGGTCTTGGCCTCCACCACCTTCTCACCTAACTTGTTCCAACCGTCTACCACTCTATTTGCGAAGGTGAATTTTCTTATATTTCTTCGGCATCTGTGTTTAGCTAGATTAAATCTATGACATCTTGTTCTTGAAGTTCCAGGTCTCAGGAAATCTTCCCTGTCGATTTTATCAATTCCTGTTACTATTTTGTATGTAGTGATCATATCACCTCTTTTTCTTCTGTCTTCTAGTTTTGGCATATTTAATGCTTCTAACCTCTCCTCGTAGCTCTTGCCCTTCAGTTCTGGGAGCCACTTAGTAGCATGTCTGCACCTTTTCCTGTTTGTTGACGTACTTCTTAAGATATGGGCATCACACAACAGCTGCATATTCTAGCTTTAGCCTAACAAAAGTCATGAACAATTTCTTTAGTATATCGCCATCCATGTATTTAAAAGCAATTCTGAAGTTAGAAAGCATAGCATAGGCTCCTTGCACAATATTCTTTATGTGGTCCTCAGGTGATAGTTTTCTATCTAGAACCACCCCTAGATCTCTTTCTTTATCAGAATTCTTTAAAGATTTCTCACATAATATATAGGTTGTGTGGGGTCTATGTTCTCCTATTCCACATTCCATAACATGACATTTATTAACATTAAATTCCATTTGCCAAGTGGTGCTCCATATACTTATTTTGTCCAGGTCTTCTTGAAGGGCATGACAATCATCTAAATTTCTTATCCTTCCTATTATCTTAGCATCATCAGCAAACATGTTCATATAATTCTGTATACCAACTGGTAGATCATTTATGTACACAATAAACATCACTGGTGCAAGAACTGAACCCTGTGGTACTCCACTTGTGACATTTCTCCATTCCGATACATACGTACGTACGTGCGTGCATACGTGCGTGTGTGTGTGTATATATATATTATATTATATATACATATATATATATATATATATATATATATATATATATATATATATATATATATATATATATATATATATATATATATATATATATATATATTAGTATATTTTGGTAGCAGTCTTTCCTGTAGACATATATTATTAAATATGACCGAAAAAGTAAGATTAATAATTCTAACACGAATTTTCTCAATCTTTCGTACATTACGCTTCACTGTTGGAGGTAAATCAAAAATCACTTCTCCAAAATTCATTTTTATTTCTAGTCTGACGCGACACGGGCGCGTTTCGTAAAACTTATTACATTTTCAAAGACTTCACAAATACACAACTGATTAACTTGCGTTTCTCTGATTTTATATCTACATTTGAGTGAGGTGGGAAGGGTGATGTGGCATTAACACAAGACAAAACAATAGGGGATATTAATAGGGTATTAAAAGTATCAACACAAGACAGAACAGAAACAATGGGTATTGAATAGAAGTGTTTGTAGAAAGCCTATTGGTCCATATTTCTTGATGCTTCTATATTGGAGCGGAGTCTTGAGGACCAATAGGCTTTCTACAAACACTTCTATTCAATACCCATTGTTTCTGTTCTGTCTTGTGTTGATACTTTTAATACCCTATTAATATCCCCTATTGTTCTATCTTGTGTTAATGCCACATCACCCTTCCCACCTCACTCAAATGTAGATATAAAATCAGAGAAACGCAAGTTAATCAGTTGTGTATTTGTGAAGTCTTTGAAAATGTAATAAGTTTTACGAAACGTGCCCGTGTCGCGTCAGACTAGAAATAAAAATGAATTTTGGAGAAGTGATTTTTGATTTACCTCCAACAGTGAAGCGTAATGTACGAAAGATTGAGAAAATTCGTGTTAGAATTATTAATCTTACTTTTTCGGTCATATTTAATAATATATATACATATATATATACATATATATATATGCGAACAAGCCTGAATGGTCCCCAGGACATATGCACCTGAAAACTCACACCCCAGATGTGACTCGAACCCATACTCCCAGAAGCAACGCAACTGGTATGTACAAGACGCCTTAATCCACTTGACCATCACGACCGGACAAAATGAGGTGATAGCCGAGGCTATATGAACCACCCCACCGCCGGCACTCGGATAGTTATCTTGGGCATAGCATTTTACCAAATCACCTCATTCTTTGGGGCACACGTGAGGAACACAAATGCGAACAAGCCTGAATGGTCCCCAGGACATATGCAACTGAAAACTCACACCCCAGAAGTGACTCGAACCCATACTCCCAGAAGCAACGCAACTGGTATGTACAAGACGCCTTAATCCACTTGACCATCACGACCGGACAAAATGAGGTGATAGCCGAGGCTATATGAACCACCCCACCGCCGGCACTCGGATAGTTATCTTGGGCATAGCATTTTACCAAATCACCTCATTCTTTGGGGCACACGTGAGGAACACAAATGCGAACAAGCCTGAATGGTCCCCAGGACATATGCAACTGAAAACTCACACCCCAGAAGTGACTCTGTTGCATATGTCCTGGGGACCATTCAGGCTTGTTCGCATTTGTGTTCCTCACGTGTGCCCCAAAGAATGAGGTGATTTGGTAAAATGCTATGCCCAAGATAACTATCCGAGTGCCGGCGGTGGGGTGGTTCATATAGCCTCGGCTATCACCTCATTTTGTCCGGTCGTGATGGTCAAGTGGATTAAGGCGTCTTGTACATACCAGTTGCGTTGCTTCTGGGAGTATGGGTTCGAGTCACTTCTGGGGTGTGAGTTTTCAGTTGCATATGTCCTGGGGACCATTCAGGCTTGTTCGCATTTGTGTTCCTCACGTGTGCCCCAAAGAATGAGGTGATTTGGTAAAATGCTATGCCCAAGATAACTATCCGAGTGCCGGCGGTGGGGTGGTTCATATAGCCTCGGCTATCACCTCATTTTGTCCGGTCGTGATGGTCAAGTGGATTAAGGCGTCTTGTACATACCAGTTGCGTTGCTTCTGGGAGTATGGGTTCGAGTCACTTCTGGGGTGTGAGTTTTCAGTTGCATATGTCCTGGGGACCATTCAGGCTTGTTCGCATTTGTGTTCCTCACGTGTGCCCCAAAGAATGAGGTGATTTGGTAAAATGCTATGCCCAAGATAACTATCCGAGTGCCGGCGGTGGGGTGGTTCATATAGCCTCGGCTATCACCTCATTTTGTCCGGTCGTGATGGTCAAGTGGATTAAGGCGTCTTGTACATACCAGTTGCGTTGCTTCTGGGAGTATGGGTTCGAGTCACTTCTGGGGTGTGAGTTTTCAGTTATATATATATATATATATATATATATATATATATATATATATATATATATATATATATATATATATATATATATATATATATATATATATATATATATATATATATATATATATATACACACACACATATATATATATATATATATAGACATATATGCACTAACTTGCCTGAACACGCAAGTTTGAAGTTAAACTAACTTTAGACACACACACCCACCAGGGACTCGAACCCTCGCCAGCACAGATGCTTCAACAACACCTGGCATGGCAGGTATGCACTGTACCCACTACACCACACTCAGAGCCTTAAAAGGGATGGAAATTTTGGGGTATTAAGCCCCCACCTCTGTCCCCCAAGACCACTAGAGTAGGTGAGAGGTCCTTGACGTTTTCCATCGAGAACCTGTTCATATGGGAGAACACTGTGTCCATGAGCACATGCATGCCGACGAATCCAGTCGTCATCTCCGACGACAACTGGGTTCGAATCCTGCAGGGTTCAATAAAAAGCTTTTGACAGTCCCCCTCACAAGGTACCAGGCTGAACTGCTGGACAGGAAACAAAGGGTCATAGTCAGAGAGGATATGTTAGGCTGGAGAAAGTCGTGTTCCGCAAGGCTTTGTTCTAGGACTGTTGCTCTTTCTATTTAATGTAAATGACCTACCAGAGAGAATAAGTTTGTACATGTCAATGTTTGCAGACAATGCAAAGTTAATGAGGAGTAAGAAATGAAGAAGACTAGGGTGTTGCAGAAAGACCGAGACAAACTTCAGGAGTGAGCAGATAAATAGCTGCTGGAATTCAATCCAAATAAGTGTAAAGAAGCAAGGATGGATAAAGGGAATAAAAGTTGAGAGATTTGTAATTGGATTAGTACCAGATTTGAGATGGGTCAGCTATAAGGATAGGTCGAAGGAACTCTCCCTCACAACTTAATAAGAAGAAATAAAGGGAATATGATCACTACATACAAGATCCTGAGGAGGAATATTCATTGTGAACAAAGAAAGATTATTGCATTTAAAATAAGGTAGGACAAGGGGACATCAGTGGAAGCTGGACACACAATTGAGTCATAGAGATGTAAAGAAATTCTCTCACCCTCTGGATGTTTGGCAAGTGAAATGTATTGAAGGATATGGCTGTCTAAAATAATTCCATTCACAACTTAAGAAAAATACGATGAAAACCTAAATGTTGAGAGAGGCAATTAGCATGCCAAGATTAAATGGCTAGAAGGTAGGGCATGAAGAGCTAGATCTCACTCCCCCAGTCATTACTAGGTAAGCACTGATATGTAAGCAACACTCCAAAAAACCTCACCTGGTATAATGACCACATGGAGGACAAAGCCATAGGACATGCAATGGCAAAAGATTGCAGGACACTGAACCAGAGAACAAACAGTAGTGAAGCCCTAATCCCCAAGGAATTACACCCAACCAAAAGCCCGGACACGAAGCCATGAAAAATTTGTAGGAACGAACAACGCCCCAAGAAACCAAGGTTGAACTGGCTTCTAAGGATAGGTACCCTGAAAGCAAAGGAGCCAAAAGCAGGAAGAATGTGAAAACAGCCACTGCACAAACTTGCAACTAGGAAAAGAGTCGACAAAGACCAGAAGCTACTGTGACCACACCAGATAGCAAAGAACACCCGCATAATTCCTAGACAGCCAAAAAACCAGCCAGGGGAAACACAGAGACAACTGCCCACCCGGCCAAACAAGAGTGGACCATAAAAACAGACCATCTGCGAGCACAGGTGACAAACCCACAGAGCCAATCCAAAAAAAGCAGAATCATGTTAACAACCAAGGCTAGCCTCAAATGGTAAGAGACTGAAGCAACCTGCACACAGAAAACCAAAGACCACCAGAGTGCAGGCAGAGGGGAAACCAAACCACAGCACACATGGAAGACAGGGGCCCTGCAGAGATACTCGTGAACCACTGTATTTTCAAGTGTTCGTGTATTTTTATCTTGGCACATGCCAGATGAAAACACTTCCCAAACTTGAAGCACCAAGGGGTTCAAACCACAATACCTCAACCGAAACAACTAGAACAGGATGTGCACAAAGGTAAGAAAGATTCTATGAAACAAATCCAACCTAAAGGTGGTTGGGCATTGTGGTCAAACAGTCATTTTTTACGTAGTACTTAAAAGGGGGGGACTGAGTAAAATGAAATGAGCCTTCTTGAAATCAATCTGGGCTATCTGAGTATCAATCAATCAATCTGAGTATTCTCCAGAGTCTTCCTAGTACCATTAAGAGCTGGTAAGAATATTCCAAGAGTTCCCTGTTATTTCAGTGCAAAATGTAGACCTGTTGTCTGTGTTCCATAGGAGCACATAGGAACAGCTGGGTCTGCCTAAGAGTTCATTAGTGGTACAGCTCAGGAAGCGTTCATATAAGCTTATCATTATCATACTTAGGTAAAAATTATTTCTATACTATATACATACTCACCTGCATGTTAATGGCAGACTTATTTTCTTGATTATAAAGAGCTAGAACGCCATTTTCTGTCAGGACGAACTTTGGTTTTCCACTCATCTTTTCTGAAATTACAACATTTTAAAATTATTATTTAAATAAAATTCAGAGTACAGTACACTAATGAACAAATCCACAAGGGCCGTGACGAGGGATCCAGTAAGTTCAGTAGAACTTCAGTTTCAACCCTTTTACCCTGTCGTAGCTCAGTCGATTAAGGCAGTGTCTGGGATGCTCCCGGACGCAGGTTCGAATCCTCGCCACGGCCCTTGTGGAGTTGTTCATTTGATGCATCACGTTAGTGTGATCTCTGTGTGTGACAGTACACTAAATAAAGCAAGATAAAAACCCAAATTTGTGTATATTTGAAATTTATGTAAGGAATTTACACCAAGTCTTTCGCACTCTCCTGAGAGCTTTATCAAGGTCTGAGTGTGTGATTAGGACAAGACTTACATCTCAACATTTAATGAGGCTGCTATCCTGGGTTCAATCCTCTTTCTTTTTGACCGCCTGACCATGTCACCTCTAATCTAAACTGGCAATGTACCTGCAGTAATGCCTTCCATGGAAATATGGTCATGACCTTTCTGTAATCCTGCTGTAACGTATGATTATATTACGTTGTTGGGTAGATTAGATACACAGCATTTAGTGGATTTTCATACTGTATTAATTTAGTAGTCTTGGATACAGCAGTGTCGTAGACGTTGAGACGGAGCTTGGAACAGAGCAGAGAGCTGAGTGAGGCCAGAGTGGCTGAGCTCTATGTGGGAGAGCATTGTAGCTCGATGCAGTCTTAGTCTGCTGTCTGTTCAGTGTCAAAGCTGTAGCGTCTAGGGGTCGATTAGAACTGCATACGCCGAGTGCTACATTCTTGACTGTCTAAATTGTACTGTTCGCTATTCTCATATCACTTGCTTATATTTGGTGACTACACCTCAGCTTTCTCCAATACGATAGGAGGATGGAAGAACTGTTACTTGTAATTAGGGAAAAGATTATAACTTCTGTAATTAGTGCTAATTAGTTATGCCATTAAGATAATGAGATATTGGAGCGAGTATAAGGTTTACTCGCTACACTGCTATTCTGGGAACTGGAGTTGTTATTAGTCGAAGTAAAATTTTCTGCAGGATTACAGAAATGACACATGACCACATTTCCGTGGAAGGCAGGTACATTGCCAGTCAGGATTAGAGGTGACATGGTCAGGCAGTCAGTAAGAATAAGAGGATAATAAGCATTAGACGTTGAGATGTAAGTCTCGTCCCAATCACACACTCAAGACCTTGATAAAGCACTCAGGAGAGTGCGAAAGACTTGGTATAAATTCCTTACATAAATTTCACATATACACAAGTGTGGGTTTTTATTCTATGTAATTATGTCTGTGAGAAGACATTACCATTACTAAATAAAGCCTTAGCAGTACTTGCATAGAACAATATTTTACTTTGCAACACAGCTCCTGCCATATATGCTGTATTACTTACATTTTTATATTTTTGAACTATAAATCTTCAGACTAAAAGCTTACATATCACAGCTAAATAGTAACACAGTATAGCATAGTACTACATAAAACTGAACATACTACTCAACAAGTCACTTATCATATTCAAAGTTCACACTCTTTTCAAAATATCAAGCTCCTGGGTATTGTCAGAACTGTATGAAGGATGTTTAGAGTATAATCAACAACATTTTAGCAAGTATAGTACTGTACTTGATTTGATTTAATATACTGTACTGTATTTCAAGTTGCAACACTCAAAATTATGAAGCATCTAAACTTCTGGACTACCAGAAAGCACTTAAATTGTACTTGTAGAATCAAGAAGAGAGATCTTTTCTAACACACAGATGAAAAAATATAGATAAGTAAAATTTCAAACCTGCACAACAAATTACAACATGGCTACACTTCTGGAATGAGAGAGATGGCAGGAAGTATAAAATAAACCCAATGAAGAGCTGGGGTGTCATAAGCACAAACAGAGAATACAGCATAAACATCAGAGGTCCCCAATTCTTCAACACCCTACTAACAAATATAAGAAAAATAGCTGGAAAAAACAGCAGAACCTTTTAAGCAGAAACTTGACAAGTTTCTGCTGCAGTTACCACCTCAGCCTGGCTGTAATGGCTATGTAACCCTGCAGGCTACGAAGACAAAGAGGTAATCCAGGTAATCTCCAGAGAAAATAATTATAAAAGTAGTAATATCAAAATCAACAGGCAATCATCACTTTATATACTCCTTCCTCCTCACATGCGTGTGCATGCATGCCTGCACACGCTTATGTATATACTGTATACAGGTTTTCTGAATGCTTCCACTGTCTGTTCGTATAGTCTACTGTAAATATATATATAAAATATCTTATTAGAATAGCAACTTGCAAATACTTGTAACCACATTGAAAAGCAAGTTACAGTGTAAAGACAACACTGACTACAGCACTTGTGTCAAGATTGCATGTTTTTTTAATTTACCTGGATTGTACCTGAATAGGGTTCTGGGAGTTCCTCTATTCCCCAAGCCCAGCCTAGGGCAAGGCTTGACTAGTGAGAGCTTGGTCCAACATGCAGGTGCATGTGACTCCGCATGCCCACATATCCACTACAGCCTAGTTGGGTCTGGCACTTTTATTTTATTGTTATTTTATTTTATTTATGCCGTATGTACAAGAGTTCTTACATTCTTGTAAAGCCACTAGCACACACAGCATTCTGGGCAGGTCCTTAATCTTAATTTTCCCTGGAATACAATACCCCAAATCTTTTAACAACCAGGTACCCATTCACTGCTGGGTGAAGAGACAAACAGTTAAGGATTGGCATCTAGTCAATCCTCCCCAGCCAGGATACGAACCCAGGCCAAATCACTTGCAAAGCGCGGGGAGAGTGCATTACCATCTTACTTCAGGTATAATCACCGATAGCACTACAGACCATTACCCCACATTTCTCTTAACTAACATTAGCAAACCACCTCTTGAGTCAAGAGAGATACGTTTTAGACTACACAATGAAACTGCTATAGACAATTTTATAACTGCTACTGATAATGTCAACTGGGAGTCCGAGCTAGGTAACATAGAGGACATCAACCTAGCAGTTCAATCTTTTCTTCAAAAAACTCTTAGCCTTTATAATACCCACTGTCCTATGCTTACAAAACAAGTCACAACCAAAAGGCTTAACAATCCCTGGCTTACAAAGGGAATACTTAAATCTATTAATAAAAAACATGATCTTGAGAAGAAGTATAGGTTAGGAATTGTCTCCAAAGAATTCTCAAAGAATTACTCATTATTGCTGTCTAAGATAATTAGACGAGCCAAAACTAAATACTACGAAGATAAATTTACCCAAATAAAGAGCAACATTAAACAAACTTGGAGAACAATTTCACAAATATTGGGATCAAAGAAGTCTTTAAATAACAAACCGACTCTCCTGTCTAATAACGATGGTCAGCTTTCAGCCTCTGATTCTGCTATTGAGTTCAATAGGTTCTTCTCTTCCATTGGTTCATCCCTTGCTAATGATATTCCATCTTCCAGTACTGACATTAAGGACTATCTTACAGGGAACTATCCACAGTCTCTGTACCTAAAGCCTATTAATTCCACTGACGTCAATGAGACAATCCTTTCCCTTAAAACCAAGTCTGGTGCCCTTGAGGAGATACCAACTTTAATCTACAAAAAAGCCTCCAGATCTTTAGCCCCTGCTATTGCTTTGCTCTTCAACAAGTCACTTGAACTCCAAACCTTTCCAGATATTCTAAAAAAAGCGAGAGTAACGCCTGTCCACAAATGTGGTGATCTCACAGATGTTAACAACTACAGACCTATATCAATCCTGCCAAACTTGTCAAAAATTTTTGAAAAACTAATCTATAAGCAGCTTTACTCATATCTAGCCAAACTCAATATACTTAGCCCTTGCCAATATGGCTTCAGGCCCAAAAAAAGCACTAACGATGCACTTATTAGTATGCTTAACTCGATTCATACAGCTCTTGATAAAAATGAGTTCCCTGTTAGGTTATTTGTGGACCTGCGTAAAGCTTTCGATACTGTCAACCACCAAAACCTTCTTCTTAAATTACATCATTATGGTGCCAGAGGACACTCCCTACAATACCTCAAATCCTACCTTACTGACAGGCTCCAATGTGTTTCTGTGAATAATACAATTTCTCCCACCCTACCCATCAACATTGGTGTTCCCCAGGGCAGCATACTTGGCCCTCTCCTCTTTCTGATCTACATTAATGACCTTCCAAATGCCTCCCAACACCTCAAACCAATTCTATTTGCTGACGACACAACCTTCATTTACTCCAGTCCTGATCCCCTTGCTCTAAATGCCACAGTAAATACTGAGCTAAATAAAGTCCATCTGTGGCTAACTGCCAACAAACTCACCCTTAACATTGACAAAACTTTCTATATTCTGTTTGGCAATAAATCCTCTAATCAAATAAATCTCAAAATAAACAATACCCAAATTTATAACAAATTAGATGGCAAATTCCTTGGCATTCTCATTGACCACAAGCTGAATTTCCAGGGACACATTCTAAACATATCAAAAAAAGTTTCAAAAACTGTGGGCATTCTTTCTAAGATCAGATATTATGAACCACGCCCTGCCCTGGTGACTCTCTATTACTCCCTTATCTATCCATATCTCAACTATGGTATTTGTGCTTGGGGCTCTACTACCCAAAATCACTTACGTCCTCTAATTACTCAACACAAAGCTGCTATAAGGACAATATCCAATTCTGGCCCCAGACATCACTCGGTACCCCTACTCAAATCTCTGAATATGTTAGACATTAAGTCACTGCACATTCTCTCATGTGTATTATACATATATAAAACGCTAAACTATAATGCCAATCCTGATCTCAAAAGCTTCATAGAAGGTTGTAACAGAACCCATGAGCACCACACCAGAAATAAATACAGTTTTGATATTCCTAGAGTACGACTTAATCAAACCAGAAATGCTCTACAAATCAAGGGGCCCAGAATGTGGAATGACCTTCCCAACCATGTTAAAGACTGTACCTCTCTCAACCAGTTTAAGTTAAAAACGAAGCTATACCTAATAAATTCCCTGTAACCTACCTTACCCCTCTGTTGTCAACCCATGTATGTTTTTTTTTTTTTTTTTTTTCAATTCAACGCTGTTTGAATGTAATTTTCTGTAATAATTTGTAATTGTATTTGTGCTGCTTTTTCAACAATGTTCCCCCCTCTTTTACCTCTATTTTTATTTGTACTCAACACATTTTATTCTTTTTACCCATTAGTTTTAAGCTTTAGTCATTAGTGTTTTTTCCTGCCCGAAACGCTTTGCGTAATAGTGGCTTTAGGCATTGTATGTACTAGCTCTATCTATAAAGCCAACAAACTTTGTAAAATCTCTTTATGTATGTACCTTTACCTAAATAAAAATTATTATTATTATTATTATTATTATTATTACCATTGCGCCACGGGGACTGCACGTGGACTGCTACAAGGCCACAGTAACAGGATACTTCTTGCAGAAAACTGTTCAGTTTTTCTTGAAGACTTCCACTTTTGTTTTGGCAATATTTCTTATATTTGCTGGGAGGATATTAAACTATGGACTTCTGATGTTCATAATGTTCTCTGATTATGCCTATGGTACTGCTACTCCTCTATGGCTACTGCTACTGGCTCTATTCTGCATTTCCTTCCATATCATTCACTCCAGTATGTTGTTTTCAAAATCTGGTGTGTTAAGCTAATATTTTTATATTGTCAACATACATGCATTTAAAATCAAACATTGACTATTGAAAAATCCTTTCTGTTGGGATAATAGCTTTCTAAGCTAAACACTGGTTTGCTAAGTGCTAAGTGAAGTGAAAAATCGGATGAGAAAAAGTTGCCCTAGTGTTTACAGTGCAGAGAAGAACATTCAAGATGGCCACTGGCAAGGGGAAAAACAAAACAGAGCTTGATTTTGAGGGATTCAATGAAGAAAGCATTGATATTAGCAGTCTACATAACAAGTTGGTAAATTTAGATACTATAGTGAACTCTCATGTAGAAATAATTAGTAAATTGAAAGAAAGTAATGACCATTTGAATAGCAAAGTTTTATGTCTTGAGGGTTTAGTGAAAGACTTGTGCAAGGATAAGAATCAATTGGAAACAAATTGCAAAGCCATGGAAGAAGAAAATAAACTCTTAAAAATAGCTTTGGAAGAAGTTAAAGTAAATTTAAACATAAATGACTACAATAGGTTAGGCAAGGAAATTCAACAGGAGAAACAGCTTTTGTCAGCACAGATGGAGGAAGTTACACAGGGAATAGAACAGTGCAAGAAAGATATGCAACTCACCTATGCACAAGTGGCCAAGGAGAAGGAAAAAATAGAAGAAGCAGTAAAGGAAGTCAAACACTGCAGCAACCGAGATAAAACAAACATTAGGCTGGAAGTGAAAAAAGAATTGGCATCTAACCCGAAGTTGGTGCAAAACACAGTTGATCGGAGTAAGTCCCTGATCATTTTTGGCTGCAAAGAAAAGGCGATAACATCTAGGTCAGAAAGAGCTGTAGAAGAAGCTAAAGTAGTAGATAAAATTGTTGGCCTCGTGGAAGGTCTTACAACCATAGAGAATGTGTGCGACTACAGGAGAATAGGCAGGTACGTAAAAGGGAAAGATCGACCTTTGAGGATCATCCTAAACGGTGCCAAACAGATGGAAGAAGTACTAAAGAATGCTAGAAAATTGCAAAGTGATGAGGATGGGAAAGGGTGGTCGTTAAGACGAGATCTTTCAAAAGAAGATAGAGAGAAGCTGAAACTGAACCTCGCCGAGGCAAAACATTTAAATGAGAGCAGGAATGAAGAAGAAATAAATTCTTTTTTCTACAAAGTGATAGGGGTAGGCAAACCAGTAAAGTGGTACATAAAGGCAAACCAACAAAATCAATAGAGAGAGGGGGAGTGAAGAATAAGGAGAGGGGGAACAAGTTCCTGAAGATTGCATACACCAACATAGATGGAGTGAGATCGAAGATACTGGAGTTAAGTGATGTAATACAGCTGCAGACACCAGACATTGTTGCACTCACGGAGACAAAACTTGAAGATGTTATTTTAAATGAGGTCATATTCCCAAGGGGCTACTCAATTTGGAGACGGGACAGAAAAATTAGGAAAGGCGGTGGCGTTGCTGTGCTGGTGAAAGAACACCTAAAGGTGAATGAAATAATGACTGCCAATCCATAAGAAGTTGACATAATAGCACTAGAGATCTGCCATGAGGATGATAAACTAATGATAATAAATGCATATAGTCCACCGCCAAGCAGCACATGGTCAAAGGAGGAGCTAGATAGTAAACGTGAAGGTCTTATAACAATAATGAGAGAGATTATAGCGAGAGCGGATAACGATAGATCACGACTGTTGATAGTCGGTGACTTCAACTTGAAATCCATAGACTGGGAAGCATATGAAGCTAAAACAGAAGATTTTTGGACCTGTAAATTTGTAGACCTCATCCTGGAAACATTCTTGTATCAACATGTTAAACAAGCTACGAGGATGAGGGAAGGGGATGTTCCCTCCATGCTAGATTTGATATTTACCAGGAAGGAGGAAGAGATATTTGACATTCAGTACCTTCCTCCCTTGGGTAAAAGTGACCATGTCTTTTTGGGAATAAAGTATGCAATGCGTTATAAGCTGGAAGAAAATAAGGAGGTTGAAGCAGTTGAAAAACCAGACTTTAGGAGAGGACATTATGGTGACCTTAGAAATTTTTTTAGTGAGTATAATTGGACAGACTTGATGCTAGGCAAGGAAGTGAATGAGATGTATGTCAAGTTTTGTGAAATATATGATAAAGGCACAAAAAAAATTATTCCAAAACAGAGATGCAGAACTAGGAAACAGGATTGGTTCAATAGAAATTGCGAGAGGGCTAGAGACCAAAAGACACAAAAATGGAATCAATACAGGAAGAGGCCGAACCCCCAAACATACCAGCGATACAAAGATGCGAGAAACAACTACACGGCAGTGAGGAGAGAGGCAGAAAGAAATTTTGAAAAAGGGATTGCAGACAAATGTAAAACAGAACCAGGTCTATTCTATAAATTCATAAACAACATATTGCAGGTAAAGGATAATATTCAGAGGTTGGAAGTGGGAAATAGATTCACGGAAAATGAAAAGGAAATGTGTGAAACACTGAACGAAAAGTTCCAAAGTGTGTTTGTACAAAGTGAAATCTTTAGGGAACTAGATACAATAAGAATTCCAGAGAACAACATAGAGCACATAGAGGTGTCTAGAGACGAAGTGGAAAAAATGCTCAAGGAGCTCAGTAAGAACAAAGCAGCTGGCCCAGATGGCGTTTCACCATGGGTTCTGAGAGAATGTGCATCTGAGCTCAGCATTCCACTTCACTTGATCTTTCAGGAATCCCTGTGTACAGGAATCGTAGCAGACGTGTGGAAACAGGCTAACATAGTTCCAATCTACAAAAGTGGCAGCAGGGAAGACCCCCTCAATTATAGACCTGTATCATTGACAAGTGTAATAGTGAAAGTATTGGAAAAACTAATCAAAACTAAATGGGTAGAACACCTGGAGAGAAATGATATAATATCAGACAGACAGTATGGTTTTCGATCTGGAAGATCCTGTGTATCGAATTTACTCAGTTTCTATGATCGAGCCACAGAGATATTACAGGAAAGAGATGGTTGGGTTGACTGCATCTATCTGGACCTAAAAAAGGCTTTTGACAGAGTTCCACATAAGAGGTTGTTCTGGAAACTGGAAAATATTGGAGGGGTGATAGGTAAGCTTCTATCATGGATGAAAAATTTTCTGACTGATAGAAAAATGAGGGCAGTAATCAGAGGCAATGTATCGGAATGGAGAAATGTCACAAGTGGAGTACCACAGGGTTCAGTTCTTGCACCAGTGATGTTTATTGTGTACATAAATGATCTACCAGTTGGTATACAGAATTATATGAACATGTTTGCTGATGATGCTAAGATAATAGGAAGGATAAGAAATTTAGATGATTGTCATGCCCTTCAAGAAGACCTGGACAAAATAAGTAGATGGAGCACCACTTGGCAAATGGAATTTAATGTTAATAAATGTCATGTTATGGAAGTTGGAATAGGAGAACATAGACCCCACACAACCTATATATTATGTGGGAAATCTTTAAAGAATTCTGATAAAGAAAGAGATCTAGGGGGTGGTTCTAGATAGAAAACTATCACCTGAGGACCACATAAAGAATATTGTGCAAGGAGCCTATGCTATGCTTTCTAACTTCAGAACTGCATTTAAATACATGGATGGCGATATACTAAAAAAATTGTTCATGACTTTTGTTAGGCCAAAGCTAGAATATGCAGCTGTTGTGTGGTGCCCATATCTTAAGAAGCACATCAACAAACTGGAAAAGGTGCAAAGATATGCTACTAAGTGGCTCCCAGAACTGAAGGGTAAGAGCTACGAGGAGAGGTTAGAAGCATTAAACATGCCAAAACTAGAAGACAGAAGAAAAAGAGGTGATATGATCACTACATACAAAATAGTAACAGGAATTGATAAAATCGACAGGGAAGATTTCCTGAGACCTGGCACTTCAAGAACAAGAGGTCATAGATTTAAACTAGCTAAACACAGTTGCCGAAGAAATATAAGAAAATTCACCTTCGCAAATAGAGTGGTAGACGGTTGGAACAAGTTAAGTAAGAAGGTGGTGGAGGCCAAGACCGTCAGTAGTTTCAAAGCGTTATATGACAGAGTGCTGGGAAGACGGGACACCACGAGCGTAGCTCTCATCCTGTAACTACACTTAGGTAATTACACTTAGGTAATTACTGGTCCAACCATGCCTTAGGAATATGCATCAGGCTTCCAAAACACTCTTGCCTACAGAATGCAAGATCCAAAATCTGGCTCTGGCTCTCTCTCTCTCTCTCTCTCTCTCTCTGAAGCAGGAGAAGCTTGGGGATCAAAGATAAACCCAAACCAAGAAAAACCTCACACAAAAGCATAAGCGTAACAAAAGAAGCAACTGCTTGAAGAAAATTAGGTACCAAGGATAATGATGCCAATGATCATTGCAACAACGTAAAAACACTAACCATGTGGCACCATGTCACATGAAGATCCTGTGTATCGAATTTACTCAGTTTCTATGATCGAGCCACAGAGATATTACAGGAAAGAGATGGTTGGGTTGACTGCATCTATCTGGACCTAAAAAAGGCTTTCGACAGAGTTCCACATAAGAGGTTGTTCTGGAAACTGGAAAATATTGGAGGGGTGACAGGTAAGCTTCTATCATGGATGAAAAATTTTCTGACTGATAGAAAAATGAGGGCAGTAATCAGAGGCAATGTATCAGAATGGAGAAATGTCACAAGTGGAGTACCACAGGGTTCAGTTCTTGCACCAGTGATGTTTATTGTGTACATAAATGATCTACCAGTTGGTATACAGAATTATATGAACATGTTTGCTGATGATGCTAAGATAATAGGAAGGATAAGAAATTTAGATGACTGTCATGCCCTTCAAAAAGACCTGGACAAAATAAGTATATGGAGCACCACTTGGCAAATGGAATTTAATGTTAATAAATGTCATGTTATGGAATGTGGAATAGGAGAACATAGACCCCACACAACCTATATATTATGTGAGAAATCTTTAAAGAATTCTGATAAAGAAAGA